CTCGGGCGGCTTTTCTTCTCTCCTCTCTCTCTCTCTTGCTTCCTCGCTTCTCTCTCTTCTCCTGCTTCTTTCTCTCTCTCTCTCTCTCTCTTCGCTTTTCTGTTCTCTCTCTCTCTGTCCTCGTCGCTTCTCCTCTCTCTCTCTCAGTTTTCTCTCTCTTCTTCTGCTCTCCTTTCTCTCTCGCCTTTTCTCTCTCTCTCTCTCTCGCGTTTCTTTTCTGTTTCGCTCTCTTTCTCTCTGCTTGTATCTTTTCTTCTCGCTCTATCTGCTCTCTCGTTTCTTATCTTCTCTCTCTCTCCACTCTCGCCTTTCTCTCTCTCTCTCTCCCTTCTACCCCGCGCCTTTCTCCTCTCTCTCTTCTCTCTCGCTTTCTGCTCTCATTCGTCGCTTTCCTCTCTCTCTCTCTCGCTTCTCTTCTCTGTCTCGCTTCTTTTTCTCTCTCTCGCTTTCCCTTTTCTCTCTCTCGCTTCTTCTCTCATCTCTCTCTGTCTCCATCGCTTTCTTTTCTGTCTCGCTCTCTCTTCTTCTCTCGCTTTCCTTATCTTTCTCTCCTGCTCTCTCTCTTTTCTCGCTTTCTTATCTTTCTCTCTCGCTTTATCTTTCTCTCTCGCTTTCTTATCTCTCTCTCTCTCTCTCTCTCGCTTTCTTATCTCTCTGCTCTCTTCTCTCTCTCTCTCTCTCTTCTCTCTCTCTCTCTCTCTCCGCTCAGTCTTCTTTTTCTCTCCTCTCTCTTCTCTCTCCTTCTCTCTCTCTCTCGTTTCTCTCTTTCTCTTCTCTTCTCGGCTTTCTTTCTCTCTCTCTCTCTCTCTGTTGCTTTCTTTCCCCTTTCTCTGTCTCTCTCTCGCTCTTTCTTCTTCTCTCTCTCTCTCTCTCTCGCGTTTTTTTTTTCTCCTCGGCTCAGTTCCCTGTTCATGTGTCTCGAAGCGTCTCTCTCTCTCCGCTTTCCGTTTTCTGTCTCGCTCTCTTTCTCTCTCTCTCGCTTTCTTATCTTCTCTCTCGCTTCTCTCTCTCTTCTCTCTCTCTCTCGCTTATCTCTCTCTCTCTCTCTCGCGTTTCTCGCTCTCTCTCTCTCTTTCCTCTCTCTCTGGTCTCTCCTCGCCTTGTCTTTCTCTCTCTCTCTTCTCTTCTCTCGCTTTGCTTTTCTGTCTCGCTCTCTTTCTGCTCTCGCTTTCCTTATCTTTCTCTCGCTCTCTCTCTTTCTCCTCGCGTTTCTTATCTTTCTCTCTTCTCTCTCGCTTTCTCTCTCGTCCGCCTTTTCTCTTTCTCTGCTCTCTGTTTCCTCTCTCTCCTTCTGCCTTTCTTTCTCTCTCTTTCTCTCTCTCCTCTCCGCTTTCTTCTCTCCTCTCTCTCATCTCTCTCTCTCGACTCGCTATTCTTTTTCCCTTTCTCTCTCTCTCTCGCTTCCTCTCTCTCTCTCTCTCTCTCTCGTCTCTCTTCGCCTTTCTTTTCCCTCCTTTCTCTCTCTCTCTCGCTTTCTTTTCCCCTTTCTCTCTCTCTCTCGCTTTCTTTTCTCCTCTCTCTTCCTCGCATCGCTTTTTTTCTCTCTTCGGCTTTCCCTTTCTCTCATCCATCTCTCTCTCTCGCTTTCTTTTCTGTCTCGGCTTCTCTTCACTTCGCTTTCGTTATTCTGGTCCTCGCTCGCTCTTTCTCTCTCGCTGTTTCGTTTTTCTGTCTCGCTCTCTTGTCTTCTCTCTCCTCGCTTTCTTCATCTCTCTCTCGTCTCTGCTCCCTTTTTTATCTTCTCTCTCTCTCTCTCGCTTATCTCTCTCTCTCTCTCTCGCTTTCTCTCTCTCTCTCTCTGGCCTCGCCGCTTTCTCTCTCTCTCTCTGCTTTCTCTCTTCTCTCTCTCGCTTTCTCTCTCTCTCTCTCGCTTTCTTTTCTCGCTCTCTCTTCTCTCTTTTCTCTCCTCTCTGTCTGAGAGAGAGAGAGAGAGAGAGAGAGAGAGAGAGAAATACTCACCGATGCTCGGGTGAAACTTGTAGTGAATGTGACCCGCCGGCCACAGGGGGTCCATCAGGGTCAACTTCCGCTTCCGGCGGGTGCCGTCGCCCGTGCCCCCGCCGATGTCTTCCAGGATTTGGATCAATTCTTTCTTCCCGAGAACGATGTCTCCTTCATACATACCGTCGGACACGGCGTCCTCCGTAACCTGGAAAAAGGAAGCGGCATTGCAGGCATTAGAGTAACCCTTGTGCGATCCCAGAGGTTTGTATAGCGGCATTGCAGTCATTAGAGAACCTGAGGGTCACTCTACCCTACTACACCCCCCCCCACACTCTGTACTCGCCGCATTTCCTATAATATGCAGAATCGGCGCATTTCCTATAAAAATATGCACACGTCGTAAATCAAAACGTGTATGTCTGCCTAGCTATATACTTATATTAACTAACTAAACATAACTTACATATATACTTATATTAACTTTATATTGCGGAGTGGCTGACTTGAAGACTGTACAGTCGCCCTCCCTCGCTGCGTTTATTTAAAATTCGTTGTGACATTTATGTAACCATGTAATATTTGAATGCGTAAATAAATTTCAACATCTAAATCTAAATCTAATGTAATCTAGCTATAGCTTACGTACGCTATCTCCGCGCTCCGTTGCTTCCGCCTCAACCAGCAGCTCTAGCAGTTTCTGGTCTGATTCATAGTCCTCCTCGCTCTTTCCAAAGTGCTCACAGGATACGTCCTTAGGGAGGAAAAGATCAGATTAAATACGACATAAGTATAACATAATACTATCAAGTGTTCAGAAGTAGTGTAATATTAGTATATACACGTAGAATATATATGCAGTGTCGCCCGAATATTAGTACACGTATACAGTATATATACAGGAAGCTACTACATCCACCACCGCTTTCCAACCGGAGAGAATTTTTCACCCATCGTTTATACTATATTTGGCTTGTTCCATTGCCAATTATGTTGAATTTTATTTCTTTACATTGTTATCATACAAACATTTTGTTCAAATATTTCTCATCATAAATCTTATTCTTATGACAGATTCCTGTATACTTAAAAATAAATTCTCTAGGGGTTGGCCGACTAGATGACCGTATGGTCTTTTCGCCATCCCTTCACTGTACGTCATTTATATTTTGTTAACAAATCCTTGTAGCTGCTGATATTGAAAGTGATAAAATAAACTCTTATCTTATATACTTACTCCACACACCGCCGCCGGGTCTCCCGCGCCCGGCGAATCTCCCGTTTTTCCCGTGCTACTATCCTCCTCCGACACCCACTGGTTTACTTCTAGGGATACGGCGCGATCACCGGTGGCTTCACTGCCCAGCAATAGTGAAGCTGCGGTGAGTAGCAGCAGCACTCGCTCGCACAACGGTGGCATGGCGATGCGACTTGTTTTACCTACGCGATAAATCACGAAATACGAAACACAGGAATACACGAATACCACGGAAAAAAAACATCAAACAGAAAACCGTCTATTTACGAATAGACGCACCCGTAAAACAAATAATAGCAGATATAGCAAACATATAGTAGCTACTTCGAGAGTTTCGACTATATCTATAGCTCTTTTTCTCTTCCGAGCAGGTGCATTTGTATTTGAAGAAATGTGTCATGTCTCGTTGATTCGTGACTATTTCATATCGCGGTGATCATATTACAAGCATATAGACGATAATATACTATAAATGTATAATTACACAATACAGTTACAACTGTATCTGACGATATCGCATATAGACAGTATACCTACACGAAAATATGCTATATGATTATACTTGCAACTAAAACCGAGGTCAAACGTCTTGACGTTAGCTCACAACATGCGTACATACTTACACTCTATGTCTCCTTATCAACCGTAGTGTTCTTCCCTCTCTTCTCTCTCGCGTCTATCTTCGCGCTTTCTTTCTTTGTCTTTCCTCTCTACACGCGCGCGCACACACACGACAGCCGTGGAATCTCCGGTAGCGAATAGTACACGTCGGTCGCGTCGCTCGCATTTTATCCCCTGGCGACGAGAAGCCAGCGCGTCGGCGTGTCACGTGACGACCGATCGTGGCAGACGCGACTCACCTGCACGCGCACTCTCTCTCTCTCTCCTCTCTCTCTCTCTCGCTCTCTCTTCGTCTCTCTATCCAGCTCTTTCTCTGTCTCTCTCTCTCTCTCTCCTCTCTCTCTCTCTCTATCCAGCTCTTTCTCTGTCTCTCTCTCTCTCTCTCTCTCTCTCTCTCTCTTTTCTCGTCTTTC